CTCTTTCCTTTTGGTCTTATTTTTGGCTAGTTTGTAGCTTTTGTCATTTAAACATCCCGGTCTGATTTAGCTGCTACGATCTAATCACCAGTTTACGTAACAAACAGAGACAGAGTGTTTAACACTATAGATGACCCAAACTTTTCAAAAGTTTTCTTTACGGAAAGCGCATAAACAGATAGATCTCGCATGTCCGCATGCTTGCCAAACTTAAAAAAGATGTCAGGCTCCTGGCCATGCTTCCAGTTGGCTCAGTGCATAGGGACTAGTGCATCGCGAGCACTTCATTGGCCCGAATCCCTGATCTATGCACTTGGCCGGCATCAAATAGAAATTTTTAAATTTTTAAGATTTAGCCTATGCTCAGGGTAACTTTGCGAAGCCCTTCGGCCTGAGGTTTGCTATTTCCAGGAATGTCTTGTCTAGCCAGTCTCTCTTGGAATTTAATCGAATTGTGTATAAAAGCAATCCCTCTTGGAATTTAATCGAACTGTGTTCTTTTATCTCTCATGTATCACCATTAACTGCTGTATTTACTTAAGGAATTTAATCTCAGCTGCATCACTTCTGCTTGAGGAGTTTGCTTGTGCTTTAAGAAATACGTATCTTTCTTCCCCCTTCCTCTCCCCGTTCCTCCGGCTTTTTCCAGCTTTCTCCTTGCTCCTAAGAAACTTGTCCAACGTGGTTGTGTCCGGCTTACAATTACGATTGATGCTTTCTCAGTTATCTCATCTTCATACTAAATGCGCTAGCTGTTTATGAAACAAAAATTGTTACCCATTTCATCACTGTGGCCAGGGTGCTCTCGAGACTTCTTCTTTATCTCTCGAATAGTACGTGTGGTCGGATCGGCAGGATCCGTGAAGCCGGATGCCTTGTTTTTTATGCTGGCAGCGGCGTCCGAGAGTTTGTGCTTGATTGCTCGAGCTTCGTCATGGATAAATTCTCCGGATCGTTTGCGCGCTTTTTCGAGCATTTCTTCTGCACCATGCACGACATTTTTTGCTGAGTGCACTGCAAATATGTTTCCTTGATACTCATTCACTTACAAGCATTAAAACAATGGACAACGGCTAACGGAGGAGGCAAAACCGCTTTCACTGGTCTATCCGAATTACTGGGCCTACAAGCTCTACAATAATGGAAAAATATTTTGAAGTTGGAAGAAGCAGACAAGAGAAAATAATATTATGAAATTAGCAGAAGTAAACTATTATAATGGTAAGAAATGTTTCGGTCTATTAAGTCGTATACATTTCTTAACATTAGCACAACTGGACCTCGTCAGTACGACGGTTGTGTTAATTTGATATGACCTAATTAACAATCTAAATTAATAATCTAATTCCCAGAAAAGCGCATTGAGTTAGTTAAATGTCTGGAGTTTTCCTCACCATCGCCAAAGCAAAATTCCGAACTCAGTTGTAGACCTCTCTAACAAGTGCTAGCAATGCCTCGTTGGATAAAAATGATGTCCAAGCAATTCAAGTTTTTCTATTTTGAGATGGTTTCCTATTTCAAGGTTTTCCTATTTTAGACACCAAAAATCAGATATGCTTCCTGTGCTATAGGCATGACGTCAGCTTTAATTTGCACTTGAAAGAGAAAGGGTTCAAAAAACTCCTTGTCCCCATATCCGAAGCTATCGGCAACACTAGGGCTGCTTCACATAAAGTAGTTCCGGCTCTGATAAAGTGTGCATAAGTGAAGAAGAGAGGGAAGAAGTGGGCTTTAGCTCCGCTCTGACAGAGGGTGAGTTATTGGTGCATGAGGGAATGGGAGAGGGAAGGAGGGAGCTTTCTTCATCAGCTTCAAGCAACTGTTTTATTCACTCGCACCGTTTAAGTGCCATAAACAAACTGAGCGAAAAACTCAGTATACCACAGTACCACTAAAAGCAGAAATTTAGAAAGTTTTTCTCTCAGAGAAATTCCATCCCGAGGTCTCATCCATATCGGATCAGACAGGGAGCGGGAATCTCATCAAGAAAACCTTCTTTGAGGGGAAAATGAAACAAAAATAATACTAGAAATTAGCACAAAACTTACTGGCTGAGCTTGCAGCTCCTTTAGCTTTCGATGCAGCAGTATCCACGGCATCCTTCTGCAAACAATTGCCCTCATTAACCTGTTCGAAAAGAGGCAATAAATAACTAATACTTTAGGCGTGAAATTTAAACTTATGCCTGAACAATCCGACACGGAAGAGGCCTAATTTTTTAAAGTACCACTGAATGTGCACGACCGCAAAAGATCTGCACAAAAGATCTCATGCGAAAAACGTTTGAGCTGCTAGCGCTCTTTTTTAGATAAGCTGGTTAAAGCTATGGATAAAACACTTAACTGACAAATAACTCGCGTAAAGCCAAAGCTAAATCCGCCTAAAGAACTCGGATAAGAAACTGCTTGATAAAACTGACTGGATAGAGGTTGTAGTTATTTATGGTGCCCATATGTGAAGATGGCCGCCGTTGTTGCTGCTGTTGCTGCTTTGTTCAGGACCTATCAGCACTTGTTTGGTTAGTAAAACTCACTGCCGGACTTCAAATAACTTCGAAAA